CCGATTAGTGTCATTTGCACCAATCGGAAAAATAAATTCGTAAAATGTCTTCTTTATGCCTACGCGCTTTGGAGAATGACTACAATTTTGTATTTGTAAAAAATCTTAATAATTTTAAATTAGTACAAAAGTTTAAAGAAAAATATTTTATTCATTTACAAAAAATTTTGAGTCGTTATAAGCCAAAAAAACAAAATATTGATTTGGCACAAATTGATTCTGTGGAAAAAATTCAACTTCTATTATATTTTTCTACTTTATTATATCAAAAACATATTTTACCAACAATTTATGAAATTCCTGAATAAGTATATATTTTTCTAATCTGTCAAACAAAATGACCGATTAGTTCATTATTTATTCAATAACGATGTTATTCAATATTGCTATTGACGGTCTGACCGCCACCGGAAAAACTTCTATTGGCTATTCTTTAGCAAAACGATTAAATTTTAATTTTATCGATTCTGGTTTAATTTAGCTTACTATAATATTAATTCTACAAATTTTAATCGACATACTTACAATACTCTAATTAACTGTTCCAACTCTAGTACATTTTCTTTCCTCGATATTTCTCAAAAGGCATCTGAACTTTCAAAAGATGAAGAAATAGTTCGTTAATTAATCAAGAAATTAAGAAATTAATGAAAGAAAAGGGATTTGTTGTAGTTGGTCGAGATGTAACAACCAATATTCTTCCTGATGCAAAATTTAAAATTTTGTTATCAGCTGATTTTGAGACGCGTTTTGATTGACGTGTGACACAATTAGTTGAAGAAAATCCTCAAAATATTTTATATAACATCATTACACGTGACAATATCTCTAAACCTTTAATCAATTATTCAAAAAAGGTTTCAAAAGAAATTAACACGTTAGATCTTGAAACTTTCGAAGTCATAGAAAAAATTTTACAAATAATCAAAAAGAAAAATTCTTTTAAAAATTTTTTAAATTTTTTTTTGTTTTCATGTTATTTTTATTATCATTTTTATTAAACCAATACTCTGATTAGTGCTTTTGCACCAATCAGAAATTTAACTATGTAACAATCTTTTAAATATGTCTACTTCTCTTTCTACTTCTACTTCAGTCAAATGAATATTCGATCAAGTCGAAGAACTCTCCACTGTGATAATAACGATTACAATTATTATTTCCAATTAACAAATTGGCAACTCAATACCGAAGTTGATGAAGATGCATATGTTGAGGCATTTCCTCTTCTTTTGGATCATATTAAATTTACAGAAGATTTAAAGAATTTTTATGAAGCAAGAAAAACTGTTTTTTCTCGTATCGAAAGAATTCTTCCTAAAGAAAAAGATCATGAATCGTTTGATGATATTCAAGAATGGCGAACTACCATATTGCAAGGTCCTAAATATGGTGCAAAAATTGCTCTTAATAAGTTAGAGCATTATGAAAAAAAAAATGAACGGCGTCAACAAAAAAAAGAAAATAAATTAAATTAAATTATTCATTTTATCTTCTTTTTTTAAATTTATCAATTATTTTTCATATTTTTATTATTAAATTATTCATTTTATTTTCTTTTAAATTAATCAATTATTTTTTTTCCATATTTTTATTATTATAAATAAATATTCTGATTAGTACATCTGTACCGATCAGAAATTTAACTATGTAAAAACAAAATGAAGCAAATTCAAAATAATCTTCAACAAATAAAATATCTGCAATATCAATATAATTTCTTTACAACACAAATCTCAATAAAAAATAAACTCATCTTAATTCGTAAAAGTTTACGTATCAAAAATCGGATAAATTACTCCGATACATGTCCATATATCAGATCATCTTTTGCACCTGTTCTATATTATTGTTCATACTGTAATCATTTTTGAAAGATAAATTTTTGCAAATGCTGTAAAAAATCTATCGATGATGATGATTTTGATTTTGAATCTAACGAATCCGCAACATTATCTTCAATAACAATAATAACTGAAGAATCTCAAAAATCTCTTAAAAACAAAG